TGTTGCAAATGGTAAGAATTCCTTCTTTTTTACAGCAGCGTAGTATTCCATTGTGTAGATGTACCACAGTTTTCTAATCCACTCATCTGCTGATGGGCACTTAGGCTGTTTCCAAATCTTAGCTATTGTAAATTGTGCTGCCATGAACATAGGGGTGCATATATCCTTTCTGATTGGTGTTTCTGTTTTCTTGGGATATATTCCTAGAAGTGGTATTACTGGGTCAAATGGCAGTTCCATTTTTAATTTTTTGAGGAAACGCCATACTGTTTTCCACAGTGGCTGCATCAGTCTGCATTCCCACCAGTAGTGCAAGAGGGTTCTGAAAAGGGGATTCTTGATCAAAGTGGAAAACCACGTTTTTTTCTTTCTTTTTAAAAGGCATTACAATATTTTATTTTATTTTGTATTGTTTTTTAAAATCCTCATCCAAGGATATGTTTTTATTGATTTTAGGGAGAGGGAGGGAGGGAGGAGGAGGAGAGGAGAGGGAGAGAGGGGGAGGGGAGAGAGAGAGAGAGAGAGAGAGAGAGAGAGGAGAGAGAGAGAGAGAGAAACATCAATATGAGAGAGAAACATTGATTGGTTGCCTCCCGTATGCATCTAACTAGGGATCAAATTCACGACCTAGGTATGTGCTTGACCAGGAATTAAATCTGCAGTCTTTTGGTGTACAGGGCAATGCTCCAACCAACTGAGCCACCCAGCTAGGGCAACACCAGTTTTTATTTATTTATTTACTAAATTTATTGGGGTGACATTGGGGAAACCTGAACCTGAAACAGATAGGTTTCAGGTGCAGGTTTCCATGTTACAAAACCAACAGTTTTTAATACTTATTCTTTCTTTCCTCAAATTACTTAGTAGGATATAATCTATTTCCAAGACACTTGAAGTGTCTTAGCTTTGTAGAGACAGGAAAACTATTAAATAAGAAAGAAAAGGAAGAAAGTAAGTAAATTTCAAAAATGTTGGAAAAGTAAAGAGGAATATGAAGAACTGACCTCCACCCTCATTTGCTGAGTGGTATTGTCACGTTGTGCCAGGGCCCAGGGTGCATGGTTGTATTTATCTTCTGGTTCATCTGGTCTGTTCTCTTCAGGTGCTGTCATGGAGGAAGAGGCAACAAAACTTCTTGGTGTGAAGATGTGCAAATTTATTCCAAAGCACACCCGGACCTTGGCAAATGAGTTTCGCTGTTACGTGAATTATGACTCTCAGCTAGACCATGATGTGTAAATGTAGACAGTGTATAATGCAGGACAGGACACTGTGTGACATTCCCCTCTTTATTTTCTTAGTAGGTTGTGAAGCTATGCACTCGGTCATCACACTTTTGGATAATTTAAAATTGACTTAAAAAATCACTCAGTATTGTCCTTGGCTGGCTTGCTCAGTGGTTAGAGCATTGGCCTGTGGTCTTGGGTTTGGTTTCCAGTCCAGGATGCGTACCTGGGTTGCAGGTTCAATTTTTTTCTCTGTCCCCCTCCTAAAACTTCCACTCTCTAAAAGCAATATAAAAAATGTCCTCGGGTAAGGATTAAAAAATAATAATAAACAAAGATCATCAGTATTTTTGAGACATTTATATTTTTATCATTAACCTGAGATGTTAAATATTCAGTAAATGTTCTTTTAAAAAATAACCCCTACGACAATATTTCCTTAAGGTTGCTAAAAATTAACTAAGGAGGTAACACATACTATAACAAATCATGTGTAGAAATGTAATGTGTAATTTAGGAATGGTGGGCAAGTAGCAGTATAGAAATAACAATTTTAGTTGGTCTATAAATCTAGCCTTTAAGATGAGGGAAACCTTTTCTCCATGGGGGTAGAGGAAGGAAGAGGCAAAGCTTTACTCATATAAAAATGTACTTTAGTAAGCAGCCAATATGTCTTTTTTGCTTTGGACCCTTTGTGATTCAAGTTTTGTGTTTTTTTTAAATTGACTTTATAGACAGAGGGCATGGGAGAGAGAGTGTGAGAAAAAAAACACACACATCAATTTGTTGTTCCATTTATTTATGCATTTGTTGGTTGTTTCTTGTATGTGCCCTCACCAGGGATCAAATCTACAACCTTGGCCTATGGGGATGATGCTCTAACCAACTGAGATACCTGGCCAGGGCTTGTGATTCCATTTTAACAAGCCCGTATTTGTTTGTGATTGGTGTCTGGATTTCAAGAATGACTTGTAGCTGTAGCCTGGCAACCTGAAAAGCTTGACGTAAGCCTGGATGTGTTCCTGTCTGTCTGTCTCCCTCCAGGCAGGTGGAGTGCGCATGGCCACCAGCTGTTGAATGGCAAGGAAGGCTGGGCGATGCTCTCAAGTCTGTCTGTAAGCAGGGGGTTCTCAGGAGGTGACTTCATCTCTGACATTTTTACCATAGAACCGCAAAAACCAAAGAGGATGTTTAATAGACATCTTTGTAAGTCCTTAATTCAAAAGTTTGCATTTACACCAAGACAACCATAATGTGAGTAGAAAGGGGAGGGATAATAATTGCAGTTTTGTTAGCAATTCAGAGATTTCCATGTTGTTACTCAGCTGTGTGCAAGAGCAGATGAAATGTGTGGTGAAGTGAAACCCCATTTCAGATGAGAATCCCATGCTGGTTCCTTTCCTTTCCTTTCTGCAGTCTGAGCCTGAACCAGTTACTAAAACTGACCTCTTGTCCCTTCTGCCTTAATAGAAGAAATGCAGTCCTACCAGAAGTCTGGGTCATTGGCCTCTGAATGTGGAACAGCTGGCAGGAGCCAGTGTCTTCTGCGGGCTCTTCCCAAATGATTTCATTTTTACAAAATAAGTACACAACAGAAATATTGTCTGTTGGAAAAAATCTTCAATGACCAGTAAGGTACCTCCATTCCGAGCTTTGCCATGAAACCCTCAAAATAGAATTACTTGAAGGAAAAGTAGGCATGGTGGCACTTTTTAAGAGGAGGGGAAGAAGCTATGAAATTTACAGTCCAATGCTGCTAGAATTTATTGTACTTGCCCATATCAACAAGATGCAACTGTGTTAACGATGTTACCAGGATCAGGAGGAAAAGATGTCCTTGAACTTTGGTGGCATAATTCTCTAGCCAGTATATTTCCCTAGTTGTCATTAAAACACAATACTAACCCCTTCCCTTCCAAAATAAAAAAACTTTAATTTTAACAAGAGAACAAAATTCTGTTCAATAAACTATTCATTGAAGCAGTATCTCCCCATAATGGGTCACAGCCCTCTAATTTCAATATATTCTCTCTAATTGCTGCTGTCTAGGGGTAGATTTCATTTTTATCTCAATTTTTATTTATTGATTTTCAAGAGATTGGAAGGCAGGAAGGGAGAGAGAGAAACATGGATTTGTTGTCCCACTCATTTATGCATTCATTCATTGGTTGATTCTGTATGTGCCCTGACCAGTGATCGAACCTACAACCTTGGGTATATTGGGACGACGCGCTAATCAACTGACCTACCTGGCCAGGGCATGGATAGATTTCATTTTAAACTTACCTTTCATACTTAAAAACAAACAAACAGGCCCTTTGAAGTAATATAAACACTTCAAATAAGAGCTGGATACTACTTATTCTCAATGTAACTCATGAGTCACTGGGACAGTGTGTTTTTGCTCCCTACTGTGTGTGGGCAAGACTGCTAGGTGCTTCACAATGGTGATCAGCCATCACAATACCTGTGAGGTGGATGGCACCACCTCATTTTATAGATGAGCAAACTAGCTCTGATTCTTGGGCAATATGTGAGGTGAGCAGAGGCCTGAGCATGCCCAGTGTGCTGACAGCCAATTCAGTTTCCACTTAAAGCTGAATGCAGAGTTGGTGTGGTTCACAGCTGGCTCCAGGAGCTCAGCACCTGGAACAGGGCAAGTGCTCAATAAATAGTTAAGTGGATGAATGTGCCATTCAGAGAAAAAGTACAAAAGTTGCCTTTATAGATCTTAGAATGGAAAGCCAGTTTCTTCCTAATATTAGGACAATGCTCTAACCCAGCGGTCACCAACCTTTCGGACCACATGGACCACCAGTGGTCCGTGGACCACCGGTTGGCGACCGCTGCTCTAACCAACTGAGGTACCTGGCCAGGGCAGGGATTTTTGTTGTTGTTATCTGAACTAGCAACAAAAGGTTGCTCTGAACCTTCCGTTTCTGGACAATATACTCTAGAGATACCTCCACTAGGGCTACCTTTATAAAAAAAAATCCCAAACTATATAGAACTATCCACGGCTACTTGGAAAATCCCGATCCTGTTCAGCAAGGTATTTTCATGCACAACTTCTGTCACCAGATAGTAAAAGTTGAAAGTCCTCTCAGTGAACCTTGCGTCCAGATCAAATAAAGACTGATGGTGACTCAGGCAGCCAAAACTGTACTTCAACTGTGTACTTCTATGGCAGCTGAAACTTGGGAGTGAAACACATGAAGAAAGGGCACTTCTCGGCTTGGCTGGGGTGTCACAGGAGAGCAAAGAGATTGACTTCATGTTACTACTTGATTTAATCTTAAACTTCCACCATAAATGAAGACAAAGACTTTAATAAACATATTGTTTCCTCTAAAACTCAGTTGAGCCCATGAGAAAGAAATACACACAAGCAATATACCTTCACCAGCAACTGTTTTAAAGATTTAAAAAGTACCTCTTACTTTTACAAATCATTATGTTCAGGGACAGACTTCCAGGCTAAAGAAGTAAGGATTTAGCTCACAATGCAACATATAGAAAAAGAGGCTCAATACTGCTTTCTTGAAATTGTAAGTTAGCTCATTTTCCCCTCATATGTGACTAGTACCAGAAGCCCTTCAAACAGCCAAGTTAAGTTCTTGAGAGTTGGCAAAGATGTCACGTTCCACCTGTCGCCTTTATCTCATTACCTCTTACCTACAAATTGGCCCACTGACTTTGAAAAGTGAAGAAAAAAAAAGATTTTAATTCAGTAAACCTGCAGCCATTGATATGCTAGTAAATAAACCGAAGTTTAGGATTTCTGGGATGGCTCTGGGGTACCTGAGCCTATTACACTTCCCTTTTATCCCTGTAGCAGCTCCTGGAGACTGACAGCTGGGCATGTCGGGTTCAACCCTGTCCATCTGGTTGTGCCAGCAATGAGGACAGGCTGGCTGCAGAGACTTGGGACACAGCACCAGGTAAGGTTTATCTGAGGATTCCAACTGTGCTTCTACAAGCTAGCAGAAGGGAAAACATGGTTTATAAAACAAGTAAAAATTTTTAATATTCAAAATCACTAATATAAAAATAGTTTCTGCCCTTATTGAAAATAAGTAGCTATATATGCTTATAAAAAGATAGTTTAAAACGCATCTATCACCTACGTGTGGAGGCTGTGGCCTGCTTGTCCGAGCAGCGGTGCCACCTGATACACTGACGCTGTGCGGTGGGGCGGGGTCAGCAGCCTCAGGGGCGGTGGTGGCCCGTCCTGTCCCAGAGGCCGGTCCCTACACTAAGCCAACTCCTTTCAGTCCCATCAGCTGGGCGCAGACTCCGCCTAGAATAGAAGAAGCCCTAACAACGGAGAGGTTCCCCTGCGGGGCCCGGGCAGAAAGACCTGCCCAGGTCACTGTCCTGCTCCTGAACGGAAAGGCCTGCGTAGGTCCCTGTCCCACTCCTCGTGACCGGGGTCCTGGTTCCGCTCTTTTCCGCCGCGGTCCGTTCCGGTGGCAGCTGGCGCGTCGTGGTCGGGCGCGGGAACGCAGGTGCAGCCCACGGGCACCGCCACGTACTCCTCCGCGTAGACGGAGCGGCCCCCCGCACAGCCTGCAGTGCGGCGCAGCACGACCGTGGGCAGCAACACGGGTGCACTGCGGAGGCTGAGGTCCTCCTCCCCGCGCGGCCCGGTCAGGCAGCCTCGGCACAGGCAGTAGGCCTCCGGCAGGAGCCGAGGGTAGCGGGTGGGGTCGTAGGACAGCCTGCGGAGAGAGGCGGGATCAGTGCAAGCTTGTGCAGTGCCTTTGGGATCAGTGCCAGTTCTAGCACACCGGGTCAGAGTGCCCCGGGTTCAGTGAACGGCCCCAGTCACTGCGCATGGGGTCAGCCGGCAGGGCCTTAGTGCAAACTCGGGTGGAGGGAGCGCCACCTGTTGAGCGGGCGGCTTAAGGGGTCCTGGGAAGTGCTGAGGTTACCGCTCACACTAAGCAGGAAGGTTGGCTGGACACTTGACCCCAGGTAGTGTCCATGCGAGACTCGGATCTACAGATCCCAAAGGCAGGCTTTACATCTGGCCTCGGGCCATTCCCTAAAATCAGGCTTTTAACTAGTGCCCTTAGAAAAATAACCTCTACACTGTGCACAAGCACCAACAGGTGACCCACACAGCCACTGAGTGTGTGATCAGACACCCTCCCTGTGCCAGGACCCCAACTCCAACTCTAAGGGGCCACCCCTGAGCAGAACTGTGTCTGCTCCATCCCACCAGGCTCTGCAGCCTCAGAAAAGGCCACACTGCCAGGGCACTGCCCACACAGGTCCCCAGGACAGGCGACTGCGCATG